ACGGCGCGGGAAAACGAAAGTAAAGAAACGGCGACTGGTTTCCAACCGGCATTTGATTGGTTGAAAGGATGGCGCAAGTTTTCTTGACCAATCAAGGACGGAAGTAAAGCGAACCCAAAACAACCAGGGATCATGTTCGACACTCAACCAAAAAGTGTTCTTCTCAGTAATCAAATGTTTACATTTTATATCTGTTAGCATGCGTTTAGACAAAGATGAAAAAAGGTTTTGTAAAGAAGGGCTGTGGTAGCTAGTTGAATCGTATTCTCTACAATTTAAGAATGCGTTGGAGTCAAACTGCCATGGCCTGAAAAATGTTCCGCCTATTTTACCTCATCTTCGTAAATGAACATCTCCTTTTCCTCAAATTCCATCCCTGGCAAAATTAAGACACAATTGTTTCATTATTTATATACACCTTCCTAAAATGAACTGATTTTATGAGAAGGGCTTAGCCTACATTGAAGAAGGACACTTAAAAGTATTGGGGTGAGAACACACTACTAACCTCTGAATCCAAGCTCTACTTCTCCCACTTCACCCTCATATTCATGCTCTCGCTGGGGAAAGAAAAACACCATGACTTTCTTGAACAAGCGGTGTGTCAAGCGAACGGCCAGCGGACATACGTTCACTTCAAAATGCTCCTTCACTCCAATTCCTCCAACTGTAGAAAGAAATGAACACACATGTTTTCTCCATGGTCATGCCTAAGAATAATGAATATAATGCCCTGAAATCTGCACTAAACGGTATCCTCAATCACTGATACTAATTCTAGAATCGAGAAGTTTTGTTCACAAACCTGGCGGCCTCACTCTGCTGAATATCCGTACAGCCACGGCTCTGTCCACGTGACCCTTACCGCTGACGTCTAGCGGGCTCATAGCATCCTAAATCAGATATACAAGAAAGAAACAGATGAATAAAAGCGTCACTCCTGAGTCCAGTTCGCTTACCACTAAACCACTACGTCTTTCAAGCTCTAATAGAAATCAAGGAAATTCTCAGTATAGTCAGCTTACCTTATAAATGCTGTTGGGTAACAGATTTCTGACGTGAAACTTTCCTAATTCCAACCGATGTTCTACAGTGGAGCCCCTGAGAGTAGTTTTCCTGTAACTAACAAAGTCATTTGAAAGAGTTATTGGATCAATATCAGTATCTGAGCAACTGCCCACCTACCCCTCCCCTAACCCAAAATTAACCTTAACTTGTTGTCAATTGACTCTTGTTGAGTTAGGGGAGGGGTAGGTGGGCAGTTGTCCAGATACTGATATTGATCCGAGTTATTCAACAGGAAATATATCCTTTATGTTGCTGAGTAATCTGACGAGTTATGAATGGCCAGTAATATATACCGTGGTCAACCGAAGATAAAATTTTTGTTTCTAGAACGTAAGGGCACCTCTACAACAACCAAAACAAAAACAAAAAAATAAATAAACAATTACATCAACAACACAAATACACATCATCAAGATTTTAATTCTATAACCCTGTTGTTTTGCTTGAATTCCACTCTAGGTCTAAGCTACGTTTCAACAGCAGGTTATTTACCTGAAGTCAGTTAATTTTGCATCGGCTATGGCTAACTGTCCGTCTTCTTGATTCAGCTGCCATGAAGCATGATTGAAGTAAACTTCAGCCAGTTTAATCACCTCCGCAGTGGTAACTGAAAAGGGAAGCAGAGAAACAGAAAACATTATGCAAATATCGTATGTGGCCTGTATGTATATCGCTACAGGATGGAACAGGATGGCAAGGCACAGCAGGACAGGATAGGACAGGACAGGAAGATAAGATTTCTGTGTCGTGTACTCGACGTTCACCTGATCTATTTTTTCCATCCCATCACCTTTGTCATTTAATTATTTGTTGCTTTTTTATTCACGCAAATATTCTCAAAATGTGCTACACATAAGACGGAAAAGGCATAACGAGTGCTGAGGACTGAGAAAAATCCCAAGAAACTACCAATCATCTAGCGCGTATGATTCCCTTCAACTCGACTCTCTTTTGACCAACGAACGAAGGACCATTCAAATGGTTACCCACTCGATCATTGCAGTAAGACCTTTGAAGAACAATCTCACCTTTCTCAGGCGTAGGTGTGTCCAAATTCATCAGAAAGTCCTTGTACGCACTGCCAAATATAGAAGGAAAAAATCATCTATTAATATTCAGCGGGGAAAAAACAGCTGTTTCTGTATAATACATAGAGGACTGTTTAACTCTCCAACTTCTCTTCACAGTATCAATTCTGTTATACAGTTCTCTTAATTTGGCCAAACCTGAACGATGGAAATCGCCATCAGTATGTTTCTTGTAGAGACATACGTAGAAGCCAAAATGTTAGGGAACTCGTCCCAAAGATATCGAGGAAAACCCATGGCTCCCAACCTGGAGCCACAGCAGCACTCTTGGCTCCACCAGCTTTAACAGCCACTGGGCTCAGAGGAACGTTAGTCCAAGTGTTGAAGAAAGAGGCGTATCTATCACGCTTTAAAAAATTAACGACTAATCACCTTATCATAATTTTCAGTTCAGTGCTTGAAGAACTCAGCTCCTCCTTTAGCTGTATGATTTCTCTCTCGATATGGATAACAGCATCAGTGAGCCTGAACAAGATAAAATTCAGGGTGAGGAATCACTATATTTTCTTTCGCTTCGTTTTCATTCCGGAGTAAAGGAGAAAACTGGAGTCATTTGATTGTGATCGATAAAACCAGAGACGATAGGCAATATATTTTATACGCTGATCGCAGAAAATTGTTCATCTGATCAAACAATCAGTTTGCACTATTTACATCAGGCAGTTTTTCATGGTGGCAGACACACACGACGGAAACAGCTCTGTGCTTGGTCAACAGAAACAGGCGCCAACTCACCCAATCTGGGCTTAAGTAAAAAGCAATCGGCGACAATTTGGAAATTTGCGCTTTCCCGCGCTTAGGGTGATTAACACGAGTTCACTTTGGGTTCCCATTTGCTCCTTGAAGTATTCATCATAGTTCTGATTGGCCATCTTTATTACTTTGGTTCTGATCTTTACAACACGCAAACGAAATAAGCCCTAACTGTTGCACTTAAAAAGTCTTACTCTTGATCATTGATGGCTTCCTTTCTTAACGTGTTCACTTCATACAGCTCTCTCTCTAACCTCCGCATTTCCGTCTGAAGAGATCTACAAACAAAAAAAACTCAACTGTAAAAAAGACCATAGCGAAACAGAACTGCTGACGTCTCATGTTAGGGTACTTCACTGAAGTCTAAAGTGAACCCTTAACAGGGCTAACACACCGACAAAATCAAACAAAAATCTTACCTTATTCCTACTCTCTTGAGGTCTTTGTTTGGACAAAAGGGGGCACATTTTGCGGCGTTTTAGTTTCCGGATTTTTTTACTGCGGGAACTTATTTTTGCAGACTAAGGAAATTCTCCTCAATCCACAATACACTTGTAAAACCTAAACCTGTAAAATTACTATGCTTCACGGTAGGGTTCCATTGAACTTTGGTGTCTTGCGCATTACTATCAATGTTGTAGCAACTTTTTGGCTCAATCATTGATACAATTTATTTGCAGGCTTATAACATCCTTACCTGACAGTGTTCTGCAGTCTAAGAATTTGAGCTCGTTGATCTTCTGAAGTGGAAAGACGTAACTGAAACCTCATTCTCTGGAGTCTGTCAAACGCTTCCTGTTGACATATATATAATGAACACTATGTAAAGGTATCTTTATTGAGCGGACGGTAACGTGGATCGTATGGTGTTTGCTTTAAAGAAGTTGCAGTAAAGTTGAGTTCCTGCTGTTGAGTAAATGGAAACTACTACCCACCTTCTTTTTAGGTTCTGTGTACAACACAACATTATGGGCAATGTCAATGAGCATGGCGAACTGAGCCTGCAGGAAAGAAAAACAATAACATCAGCAAAACTGGCGGACTTCTGTTTAGGGATAAACGAAGGATAGATGGGTGGGGAAAAATTTCCTTTGTGAGGGGAAAAGCGGAGGGTCTTTACTTCACAAGCGTTGTGCGGGCATTTGGGGACATACCAGGTTCGAGCTAGTTTACCATCATAAATTGCCAGTTTCTCTTGACAACGGGGGTGGGGTAGGGAAGTGTCACATGCAATTAAGTTGCAGTTGAATCGAGAATTTCTTTACACAGAACTTACAGAGTTAGTGGAGATCTCCAGCAACTTGTGTCTGATTGTGAAAGTGTTTACTGCCACGTGTCTGTCCTCTCGGAGATGACTGGAATGCGATGGAGGCTAAAATGAGTGACAACAAATAAATGTTGGACAAATTGAATTAAAACTACCAGCATTATCATACAGTCATATCACTCAAGTTTTCAGCAATGTTTTGCATTTAAGCAACAAACTTTCAACAACTCGGTTTAATGTTTTGAAATTGCCCCTTGAGCAAGACAGAAAGTTTCCATCCTCCTTTCCTCTTTTTCACTCATGAGAGGCTTTTACTATGATCTGCGCTCACGGCAACCAAATTCAATTTTTTTCTACTTCAATGTACCTAGTTGTTTGATAGCTTTTTATTTAGTATAAAGGTGGAAAAGCCAAACACAAAGAAATCACAACGGCGAAATAGAAAGAAGGAGGGAGGCAGTAGTAGACTCTGAGAAGGAACTGGAGAGTGGAAAAACACAAGTTACCGAGTCGCCCAGAAGGATTGAAACTTGTTTCTAATCAGGGGGAGGCGCATTTTTTCGGCAGCCAATCAATGGCCGACGTAAAGAAGAACCCATAGCATCTCGGACAAAACCAGACTGCCATCGACAATCAACCGAAATTGCTCTGTCATGCAAGAAAGTAACATTAGATGAAGAAGTTCCATTAGACTTTACTCACCACGACTTCATGCGCATGTTCTTCAGCAACAGGATCCAAATCAGGACTGAAGCTCACAAAATGAAATTCACAGCCGCAACGAGCCACAATCCGCTGTAACTGCGTGGGCTCCTGCCCTGTATTCCCAACATCTGCATCTACCATTCCGCCAACAGCCTCTCCTGACCCCACGATGTTGGCCAGGTCAGCTATATCGAACGAGTTCTTGTTTTGCCGGCCCGTGATCACTGAGGTATTTAACCAAGGAGTGCTGTCTAAACCAATATTGTCCTCGGCACCTACTGTGGCAAAGTACTGGAGAAAAAGGAAATGATTACCTGTAAATGATCACCAAAGATAAAGATCGTGTTTTGTTAGAAGCATGTGTTTTTTTCTTGGGTAAATACCTGTAGATTTTCCACATTTCCCACCCATGTCTTCTTGTTAAAGAGCTCTCCTTTGCTCCACACTGGAGTGTGAAGTCTGTTCAATATCTTGGCATTACCAGCTGCAACCAGTACACATCCTTCAGACTCAATTCCTTTGAGAACGATCTGTGAGTTCACCAGTGCAACTAGAAAAAAAACAAATGGTGATATAACCTTCATGACTGTCATTTATGACAAACGTAACTCTGTGTATTATCTGGTAGCGTCAGATTTCAGTGCAGTTTTCTGTAATAATTTACCAGGGGATAGCCACACCGTATGCTATAAAGAGAGCCCGTTTTCCCTTGCTCTTACTAGAGATGTTCTACCTGAGACCGATACTGTCTGTCAGTCAACAAAGTACACCTTTTCAAATGAGGCCTACTACTTACTATGCCAGTTATATTCGACGACATCATTTGTTGTACTCAAAGCCACTCCATGAAGTTGAGCTTCTGTAACTTGCTCGTGTTCAGCGGTACCCTGAAGGAGTTAAAATAACTGTTATTTACAGTTTAGCCTTCGGTGAAGAGGAAAAGATGTTGAGTATGCCTTTTTCACTTTCTCTGACGGTCTTTGTAGTCTTCTCAACAAATAGAGTCATCTAAATCATAGGAATAGAGTATTTAGTGTGCCGGTTCTTAGAAATGACATCCACAGGAGTTTGCAACTTAACAGACTATTCTTAGAACCATTTCGAACGTGACTACCTCTATGGATTCTACGAAATGACGACCATGGCGTCGTGTTACTGTACCTCTTCAGCAAACGCTACGAACTTCAACTCCTTTTCCATAACAAGTTTTTCCAGCATGTTTGTTGCTGACACTGATCGAGCCTTGGCTGAAGCATCCAGTGATCCTTTATACTCATCCTGGTGGGCAAAGTGTGCCTTTGAGTTTACAGTTACAATTAACTCTTTCAGTGCTCTTTCCACCCTCGAGTAAAAAATGATTACCAGCTAACTATCAGAGAAACCTCACAAAAAAGCCGGCGAGTGACACGCCATAAAATGTAAATGTATTAAGGAAAACCAAAACAGGAACTACTTCAGAAGTTATCATTACAATCATCTTCCTTCGATCATGGAGCCACTTCGTTCAGAATACTTATCACTTGATGGGAATTGTTCAATACACCTTTTAAACCTTCAATAGTGCTGTGCCGTTTGGTGATGGCACCAAACATACCTGTTTGTCCTTCTTTTCCACAATTGTGAATTTTAGAGCATCAGCGGAGAGGTTTTTCTTCAAAACCTGATGGTAAACAAAGAGGACCGTTATAATTTTACCAAAACTTCATATGATCCATAAATAGTGATCACAGTACATCTGACCTGAGCATTGGTGTAAGCTTCAAACAGACCAAATGCTATACGACGGTTGGTTAGTGTCCAGGCTCCCTTCAAGTCATGGCACACAACGCGATGACTGTAGTTCTGTTATGTCGGAGAAATATTGATAAAAACAAATTAGCTTAACCGTGGGATGTCCTCCGCCTTGAGTGAAGACGAAATGATGATGACATGATAACACCAGATAAGGAGAACTCTAGGTTCAATTCTTAACTAGGATTTCAGTGATGTTATGCTCTTGGATAAGGCAGCATTTAAACTGGCTTGTTTCCCTAGCAAGCACATCCTGATCGACGTAACCATTAGCAAATAAAACGAACCAAGGAAACGTGTCGAGAGCTAAACTTTCTGAATACAAATTACCATCAAACACTTCACAATCTCCTCCGAAAGTTTCCATGTCCAAGAACCAGCACGACAAGTTTTGATCAAGAAGCCTAGTAGTCATACATTCCCTCTTGGCTTGACCAGGATAAATATACATGTAAATGCAGTTCATGACACGTCATTCTTCCGAGTGCAGCAGGCAACTGCCACAAGCGGAATTTTTACCCATATAAATACAACTTACCTGAAGCTCTGGTGGAGGGCCGTCTATACATGATTCTTGTTTCTTCGACGTTTCTTGACGAGAGTACTCCAACCTGCTCACAAAGAAGAAGAAAAGCGCTGATGCATTAATAACAAAACAGTCGCATATTCACATGTAAGCAAACCTAAGGTCGCTTTTTATTTGTCAAATGGTCCTGTCCATGAATGAAACGGGTCAGTTCTGAGAACTAACTCAACTGGTTGTGTCGTAATTAGCCCTGTCGTTTGAGTTCAGCCAGTTCGTTTTGACGCCCCCTACATGCTCACTAACTAAATAATTCAAGGTCCTTCTCGTAAAGAAACGCGCCCAAGAGAACAGGTATTCATAATCACAAGGAACTGTCTACTGTTTTCCACTTACACTGGCAAGAAGCACTTCAAGTTCAGCCAGACCTGATGAATGGAAAGCGCCCCATTCATTCCCTTTTGCGCAGAGTCCCCGAATGCAATAAAATGACAATGTCACGCATTTTCTGTTAGCACATACAAGCAAATGAGCAAATTGTCTTGCACTAGCTAGGAACAAACGACGGTAAATCTCGGCCATGATTTGTTTTGCGAAACTTGAATCTTGAACTTTTGAAAATTTAATTTTTTTTAGTATTCACAACACAAAACTCGCCTTGATGCTGCAAGAAGATAGTACTTTGTGGGTTCCAAGTCTATAGAACTAACCTGAAAAACAATAGAATGATTTTAAATAAAGCAAAATCGTTTTCGTTAAACCACAAAAACCGTTTGTTTTTCCAAGTACTCACTGGGTTATAATTCATGTTTTGATTCAAAAGCTTCATCAATTTTAATTCTTGAAAGTATCGTAAGACTTTACTATGAGAAAAAATCCAACGAAACACACACCAGTTCACAGAGTTGCGTTTTAATGAAGCTGAATAGTGATGTGCATATATTTTAAGCACACCTCAGTCAGTATACGAAGTTGTCATTTACAAAGCTAAGTAATCGTCGTTGTTAGGACCTCAGCAGTAAAAAAGGTTCACCCTTTGACCCCTGAGTGAGACTAACACCTAATTTCTCATAGCAATAACATCCCTGAATCAAAAATTAAGGTCAAAAGAATAAAGGAAACAATCCCCAATTAAAGAAACTCTCGATTTACACAATTTTTTCTCCGCAATAGAGAACAGTATAGAGAATATGCATACTGATATTAGGATGTAAAAGGTTAAGAGACACCAACACACCTCCGCATACTCATCACTGCTTTCCTTTCCATCCACTTCTTCCAAACCGTACAAATGACACGTAACATTCAACACTTCACTTCGAAGTTTAGCTGCACTCCAGTCAGCAGCTGGTCTCCGCACCAGGCCATCACGATGCTCTCTGAGCGCCAGGCGGTAGGTGGTCTCTAGAAAACCGTTCCCTAGTGACAGCTCAAACCCTCTTTGTTGTGTAAATGAGCCCCAGTACCACCAAGAAAATTCGGGAAAATGCAGCGATAAGTTGACCTCCCTGTGGAAGGTGACATTTAGTTTAGTACAGCATAGATTTATCACGTAACATTCAGCTTTTGGACTTGCGGGTATTTTTGAAGGAGGTTGAGAGAATGATCGAAAGTTAGGCAAACCTGAGACGCATTCGAGGGTTGGCATACCTCCCAAAATTCATCCAACACCACTCGTGTTTAGTTGAGGCTACGTAAATTACTAGTAAAGTCTATTGTGAAAAAAAACCAAAATTCCAGTCACCATTTCTGAGAGAGAGATTTGATTTCCGCCAAAATCAGCTTTAATTTCGTTGTCTTATCTTAAATTTGATGTCTGTGAATTTGTTACGTCTCTCTTTGTTTTAATAAAATAACGAACAAAAACAAAAGAAACTATGAACTATGTGCTAACCTATAATGTCGTCCAAGAGGACGCTTCTTCACCCGGTTCCGTTTAAAATAAGTTCCTCTCTTGATTGGCCGTGACACATACCACAACACTACAGCCTATAACCAAATGACACAAATGAAGCTCTCCAATCGCGTTAATGTCTAAACTTAAACCTAACTACAATTTCCTCACCGTGCACAAATATCTAATCACGCTTTTTTCCCTATTGTCATCAATCTAAGTCCAAATGCTGTTCACCAGAAATATTCTGAATACTTTTGGAAGCTTACCTGATATTTCTGGAACCATCTAAATGTGCTGGCAAACATGAACAGCTTGGGTGGGTCGCTCTGGGAGTAGTCCTGTCAAGTTAATTAAACAAAGTCAACAAACTCTCCCCTCTGACAGCTGTAGATTTTCTTGTAAATTAGTAAGGATAGTTTGATGTTTTATCAAGCTGGTAAATATATTAAAATAGCTGGATTTAAAAGATTTAAAATTCATGTTCATTATATCATGCACTTGGGATTAATATCATTGATACCATTAAGTGAACTCTTTCATTGAACAAACCTTTTTATTGGTCAATCCTGTTTCTAGGGAAACGTCTAGAGTAAGGTTTTGAGATCTGAAAGCTGCATATGAGTCATGAACCTAAAAAAAAAACAACTCAAAATCATTAGCAGATAATTATTAACCATCCCTTTTGTTTCTTGCTGCATTCCTACATACCTGGTTAGGAGCCAGTTGTGGTATTTTGTCTGGAGCACACTGAATCACTGAGTGATGATCATTTGGATCACCCTGACAATGCCACTTCATGCTTGTGCTGGAATCAGGATCAGACATTTTTAGCAATTTTCAGGTGTTGAAAATAATTCAGGATTTCACTGGTTTTGCTTAACTTTGCTCTTTCATTTGCCTGGAAATTCGCACAAACCTCCCCACCAATCAGATGCAAAAGTAAAACCAACTATGACTTTGCCATTTGTATTTTTCCGCGCTCAAGGGAGTGTACACGCGTTTAAATTGAGTTCTCCCCAGCAATGCATTCTTTATGTACCCTTTATCTATCCTGATTTTCATCCTGATTTCTCGTCGACGTTTAACTCACCATAATTTAAATGCAGGCAAATGGAGAACCTGTCGATCATCATACTTAGATGCTGCCCTGGTATGCAGGTCAAAATCACCTTCAACGACAATTCGACCTGGAAAGTAACCAGAACAGATTGCTCAGACTCGTAATGCTAAAGAATGGCTCCTCGTTTGAAAGTCTAAGATAATCAAGCAAGATACTTGGAGCTACAGTTTAACTCCACGAAAAAATAATGTCCATTCAGCACATGGGTATCAAAGAGGATAGAGTCTCTTCGAAAACGCTTACGGAAACAGGGAATTGTTTCATTCACATACCATTGGTCCAATCAAACTTAGCCTGTTTCCACTCCCACTGCATCCTCTCTGTAGTATCATAAGGATTCCTGGATGCACTAAAGTACAGGTACCATTCGCGCATGGCTAGGTGGAGATGGCCATGATACAGCAGGCGCATCTGTGGGATGAACATTTAAACAATCGCCACAAATTATGGCAAAAAAACCCTTCTTTTTCACGTTATCTCAAACTTATCACCATTTTTCATGAATAGCATTTTTTCAGTCATCTATCTGCTATTTCACACTTTATAATACCTCAAGCTACGTTTGCGTTCCCTTGGCTGGAGTCAGCGGGCCCCTTTAGTTATCAAAAAATTACAATCAAACGTTCGTTTAAAACATACTTTGTCAAAGAAAGGAAGAGGCTTGCTTGCGTCACGACTTGGAGAACTCAACTTTTCTGCAAGAATAATATTTGGCACAGTGTTAACAGAGAGAAACTTGCTCCACAGGAAAAAAAATTGGATCATAACCAACATAAGTCTACTATAATTTTGTAGTTACCAATGGAGAAAAAAAATTGTAAAAATTAATAATACCAAATGTGAAAGACACCATAGCTAAGACAGGTTCAATGTCCACACCCCACGCCATCTCAACAATTTCTGCATCTGAAGTACAAAAAATAAAGTATACCATACACATTGAGCCACAATAAGAGTATTATAAATTCATCCGTTTTAAAGTGGTTTCTCAATAACGACGAATCGATAAAACAGATAGTTTACCACACTCGTTGACGACGTATCAACGATTTCCCTTTTTAAAGAGCTCGGACCAGAGTGAAAAAAAGAACCACCTTTCAATTGTATGTGCTCTAACAACACATTAGATTATGCGCCTTAAAGGTGTGCAGTGCAACATTAAGCACCATGAACTTGACATACCAAACTTCAGATCATAAAAGAACTTCAAGGAACTTAGACTTCGAGATATCGTTATATTGTCCCAAGGCTTGCCAATTTGCACCACGGCTTCTCGTTTGGCTGAAACATAATTTTAAAAAATTAGTCTGTAAAAGCTGCAGTACTGTAATATTAGCCTCATTCAGTAGAACCTTTATAGATCGACGAGGAAACCACAATTAAACGCTTAAGTAAAATGAAACATCAACGTGGCCCTGCAAAACAGCACAATAACTCATCAAAAACATACCTCGGTCTGCTGGTTTTTGCTCCGCACCAAGAAGCGTTCCTTGTAATTCAACTGACTTTGAGGTAAAAATTGGCTGAGGAAAATCTCTCAGACAACACTGCAACGCGGGCATAGAAAATCGTATCAATCAGTATTTACTTTTGCAAAAGAGTAAATATTTCTAGCCGTGGAGTAGCATTTGATAAAACGGCTCACTGACAAACCTTGTGTGACTGAAGTTGTCCTTGAATTGTCCGGCACCACAGTGTTGTAAACTTAAGTCCTGAAGCTGGGTATGGGCTAAAGTGGGAGGACGATATTAGTTTATCTGATCAACAGAAGTCATAACACCTACCTTATTTGGACGGTTACTTAATTCAATTGCATTTTTATGCTAGTGAGGATGATAGCAAGGCAAGCACAGCGCCCCACCGGAGTAACTTACGTGACTCTCGCTCTTCGCTCCCACACTCTACATTCCTTCACTCCACTTGCACC